TATGTTATTAGTTTTGTATTCCCTTCCTGCTCTTCTAAATTTCTTCTCATCTTGGATACATTTGCAGCATTGTCTGTGACCAAACTGCGTACTAGACATTTGAATTTTTGTTCACATGTTATTATAGCTTTTACTGCCACTTCTTGTAAGTATTCTGCTGTGTGTGCATTTCCTGATGTATCAATTGTTTGTGCAAGGAAGACTTTCCTTTCTTCTGTTGTTATACAAGCACATACAATAGGATAATTGTGGACATGGACTGGCCTCTTTTCCACCTTGGACTCGGACGTACAATGATGTACAAGAAAGCCAACCTGCTAGCATTGCGAGACTCCCCCCTCTTGCAAGTTTGGTCCTCCACTTTATCGAGGGCCCACCTCGATGATGGGCTTTGGAACCCCAAGAGGTGGCATGCGAAAACTAGAGGTTGAGGGGTTTTATATCAAAAGTTTTTGTAAATTTTTTAAGGGGTTCTAGGGAGGGGGAGGGTTTGATTGGAATGCGGGTTGTGGGTATGGGGGATAGCCCACAAAGGGGAGGGGTGGGCCTGGCAAGGAAACACGGCGTGGGAGGTGGGGATCTCGGGGTCGAGGGGGGAGTCATAGTTTGTCCAGATAGTGCTCTGAATATCATTACCGTGAGTGGGAGGGGTAGGTATGGCGGGAGCAGGGGGCCATATCGAGTCAAGGGAGCACGTACCCGCTGTTTACAAGCGGTGACATGCTCCGGTTCCCAAGGCTCCACCCGTTCCCCAGGTTGCACAGACCCTCAGGACCCGACCTTCGGCTGATGCTGTGCAATGCCAAGTCCGTAGTAAATAAAGCCCCCCTCATTTGTGATCTTATTTGTGAGGGGGGAGCGGACCTGGCGGGTATTACGGAGACCTGGTTGGGCCAGGAGGGGGGGTCCCCCTCGTTGAAATGTGCCCACCAGGTTTCCTCGCATTCCATCGGCCGAGGTTACAGGGCAGGGGCAGGGGAGTAGTGGTTATTATTAAAGAAGGTCTGAGACCGAGGGAGGCCACTGTTCCTCAGACGGCCGGCTGTGAGTCCCTCCTCGTGAAGTGGGGTCATGGGGTTCAGATGGGTTTGCTGATCACGTACCTGGCTCCCTGCCACGTGGCAACAGCCCTGCCTGAGCTACTCAACGTCATCGCCGCGGTGGCGGTTGATACCCCCAGGCTTATGGTCATGGGGGATTTCAACCTGCCATCCATGGGTGAGGTGTCTGAGGTGGCTCGGGAGTTCATGGCTTCCATGACAGCCATGGACCTGACCCAGTTAATTCATGGCCCTACCCACATGGGGGGAAACACGCTGGATCTGGTTTTTGTCTCTGGACAGTGGCTGAGTGATCTTGAGATAGGGGATCTAGTTACCGAGCCCTTGTCATGGTCAGATCACTCGTTCCTTCGTCTCAACCTTCAAACCGCTGCAGCCCGCCACAGGGAGGCGGAGCCGGTAAGATGGTACCGCTCCAGGCGCCTGATGGAACCTGATAGGTTCCAGATGGAGCTTGGACCATTTCCCGAGGCTCTGGCACACGCCTTGACTGGAGACCTAGTGGCCACCTGGGATAGGGCGGCCGCTGGAGCTCTGGATCGGGTCATGCCTTTGCGGCCTCTGACCCGCGCCGATCTCATTTGGCTCCTTGGTTCACTGAGGAGCTGAGGGAGTTGAAGCACCGGAAAAGACGCCTAGAGAGTAGTTGGAGGGCCAGTCTTTCTGAATCGGACCGGACACTGGTAAGATCCCATATTAGGAATTACCTAGTGGCGATAAAAGCAGCGAAATATAGTTATTTTGCTGCTCTTATTGCATCATCAGATAACCGCCCAGCCTCAGTCAGACAGAAAGAAGAGTTCATTGCATAAACAAACTGGGCATTTTTTTCATCAATTAACTCTTTTTCTAATCTGCTAGTTTTTATCACAAACTTATCTATGGTGGTTCCAGGAGGGAAGGGTTTTTTCTTTCTTTTAGGTGATAGTGATATGTGGCTGTGGGTGTCTGATGATGATGATGCGAATGAAGCACTATCCTGAATGGATAACTCTGAAACTGTAGAACAGGAGGATGGTGATCTTGAAGGTGGATAGTTTCCAGAATCCATGAATTCCCCTAAACAAAAAAGTCAATGCTGTTATTTTATTGTTTATACAATTTCTGCTTATTGTACACAGCACTGCCCCAAAAGGAATATTTGCTTTTCTTCATAACTGTACCAAATGACAGTAACATGTAGTATTAATAAGAAATATAATTTTGCTCAAACATGACTATTCAGGGCAGTCTTAAGAAATATGATTCAATAAAAATGTTTACCAACCTGAAGATCCTGCCTGTTCAAATGTGCTTCTTTGGTCATCTTCATCACAGCACTTCTCATGATGTTGCCTCATTTGGGCCACCAGGCCTTGAATTTCTTTGTTGCAGTGTTTGCAATTTGCACGCATGCCTGCCTTACCGATAGGTAAAGGAACTTCATTAAAATATTGCCAAACTGGGTCTCTTTTACGGCCTTCTGCCATTATAGGTTTTTTCCTCCAAGGAAAGAATGTGATAAACCTCAGGTCATACACACAAAAAGATCCAAAGATTTGTCTGTCTGTGGCTGTGCAGTATTGTGCTCAGAAAGTTTCATTTTCATTTTGTACTGCTTGTCTGCTTGCCCCTTCCTCCTCACACTTAGTTTCACTTTCTTCTTGTGCAGATCTATTCCACTCCAAACAATCAGAAAAATATTGTTTCTATTCTATTCACTGAACTTCTTGAAACTTAGCACTGAAGGGGTTGATTCTGTATTCATAGGTTTGTAGAACAATAGGATTAAGGTCTTTTTCTCAACTCTGTTCATGTTATAACATTATTGCTGTGAAGAAGAGGCATGTGATCTCTGCTGAGTCAAATTCAGTTTTGAGAACTGCAAAAGTAAACCAAGCATCTGTGTTAATATCTTGTAGCAGAGAAACTGCCCAATAATCTTACAAAAACCTCTGGAAGAGCATGACATTGTGAATGGATTAATGGAATTTATTTACCAAAAAAATTAAACATATACAGTTTATTCTACATAATTAAAAAACTAATCTTTATTTCATGATGGAATAACCTTTGGATGGTAATATATTTTCCTCAAAAAGCATTTTATTAAAAAAAATCTGATTTAAATCAAAAAAATCCAATTGAAATAAAAAAATCAAATTTAAATAAAAAAAATCTGATTTTTTTTATTTTTTTTAAAAAAATCATTGATTTTTATCCACCCTGCTGAACACTTTACAATTAATTTAAAAGTCAAGGCTAAACCACCCCATCTTCAGATAAGGATTGCTGTACTTTTTAAAAATCTTCTCCTGTAATTTAATTGTGCATTCCAACAATTTTCATAATGGACTGCATAAGCTTGATGAGATAAAAATAGGACTTATTTGGGAAATCAATTTGATCCATTTTATCAAGGTGACTAGGTGGAGTTTCTTTCTTAGGAATAATAATAATCTATTTCAAAACTTTAGCAATGATTAATAAAAAATACTGCTGTTTTAATTTATTAACAGACAAAACTCAGATCAAGGAATAAAGTAAGCTTTTGCATGATTTCATTATATTTGTTATTTTTTTGCTTGTTTAACAACTACCCAACTTAACTGTTGTTGAAGAATTTTTGAGTCATGTCTCTTATATAATGTTTCTCTACTTTGGCAGATTTAAGATGCCTTGCTGGCTTGGGAATGCTGGGAGTTGAAGCCCAAACATTTTAAAGTGCTGAAGCTGAGAAAAACTGCCATAGGGATAGCATTTTGTTTTCACATGTGGCAGATAAAATACCCACAGAAATGCTAGTTGTCACAAATTCAACCATTGCTAACTAAAGGTTATCCTTTACCAGTTCTCATGCAGCCAAACAGCACCATCTGGTTCAAGAGGACGCTATCAGTAGACATCTCTCTCTCTGTGTTTGCATATGTGTGTAAACATGCCCTTCATCTCAGGCAGAGGTGCATAGAAACTAAGGGAACCTGAAAAAAGAGAAAAAACGCATAGACCAACTGATTAAGGGCTGAATATCTTCATGAACATGGAAGGAGGGAGGAACATTTGGGGAGGGAACAGAATAGAATAGAATGGAGTATCCTATTGAGAACATTGCTGCTTGGTTGGAAATATGAATAGGGGCCTTCTGCATCGTAACTTTTTGCTGCAAATTGTGGTGGTAATACTTATGTCATCCAAAGTTGGATCACAGTTCTCAGATGAGTTCTATCCCTTCCAGATGATGTTTCTAATACAGAAGATAAGAACTAGCAAACAAGAAATTGAATGTTGTGTTGTAGGTCAGTAGGATTCTAATTTAGAGACTAGTCAAGATAACCAGATTCAAGAATAATAGAACAGATAATATCTCTTCCACCAGAGTTCACAACTCTATTCTGAAAGATCTATTCTAGTTTTGCTGTCCATCTATCAGTCTTCATACATTAAGCAGGCAAATTCTAGAGTAGACTGAAATCTAGTCCTATTACTAATCAAAATAAAGCAGATTTACTGGAGGACAGATGTCTGTGTATTAGTCAATCTGCCCTTTGTTCCTTAAGAGTTCTTCAGGTTGTTCTCTCAATGCTACGTTGTTATAGAAACATTGAATAGTGCCTCTAATCATAAGTCCTCCTTATCATTTTCTTCATTTCACCTTGACTTTATAAATTGGTGGTGGGTAGGTTAAGAGTAGGTCACAGAGGAAGCAAATGCATTAAGTTCTGTTTTCTTGTTTTGTTTCACAAAAGCATCTATACTTTTATATAGAAGATATTATTTATTATTATTATTATTTGTGGTAAATAATACCACAACTTAACAAAAATGATAAAAACAATTATCATAAGGTTGGCAGGAATTTTGATCAACTTTTGATCAAGCACTTGTGATACGGATTGCACCCCTGAATTCATTATTTGCTCCAACATTGCCTCCCCCTCTCTTATCCCTTGCATTTCTTAGGAAAATAGAGATTGTGAGATAAACAAGAGGATTAAGCTGGAATGATAGAACAGAATAACAGAGTTGGAAGGGACTGCTCAGACGGGAAACCCAATACCATTTCAGGTAAATGGTTGTCCAATCTCTTCTTAAAAGTTTCCAGTGTTGGAACATCCACAACTTCTGGAAGCAAGTCATTCCAATGATTAATTGTTCTAACTGTCAGTTTTCTCCTCAGTTCTAGGTTGCTTCTCTCCTTGCTTAGTTTCCATCCATTGCTGCCTTCAGATGCTTTGGAGAATAGGTTGACCTCCCTCGTTTTATGGCAACCCCTTAGTTATTGGAACACTGCTATTCATGTAACCTCTAGTCCTTCTTTTCATTAAACTAGACATATCCAATTGTAGCTATCATTCTTTATATGTTTTAGCCTCCAGTCCCCTAAATATATATTTTGTCTTTCTAGATAAATATTTCCAAAAGAAGATTGATTATTCCCTATTTAGTATGGACAGCAGATATACTATTTGGCTAATGTATTGCATTTGCATTTGCCCAAATGGTTGGACAAAACAAAATTATTTAAATTTTGACCACATGAAATCAGTAAATCCGTAAAGATGTGGGATAAAGCTTTGGGGAAGTTATTTGGAAAAGAAGCTTGGAAAAATATAATACAAATTTATCAAGAACCTGACTATGACAAAAGTGAAATGCAAAGGAAAATATATATCTACAAACATCCATTAACAAGAAAAGCAAAATACATAATTAAGGCATATTAGGAAGAGTTGTCTGGGGAAAAATGCCTAATATTTTTTTATTGTTCCTTCCTGCAATTTTTTTGTTCTGTCATTTCTTTTCTCCACAATTTAACACTGTCCAGAATTAATTTTTTTTAGTAAAGATAATAATTGAATAGTAATAAAAAAAGTATAATAAATGCAAAGGAAAAGAAAAAAATGTAGAGAAAGGAAAAAGGTTTGAGAACTAGGAATTACACCCAGTTATCTTACCCGTGACAGGGCAGCATATTAATTTAAATTTAATAAATACATAAATTAAAGAAAGGAAAAATAAATATATAAGGAAGGGATTTCCAAACAGTTTTAAAAACTTTTAAAATTTTAACTCTTAATTTATAATCAATTATTTCTTCATTTTATATCCAATCTCTTTATTTACAGCCATGGTGACCCAATGGTTAGAATTCAGTATTGCAGATTAATTTTCCTGACTGCCGAATGCCAGTACTTTGGAAGTTCAAGTCTCACTAGCTGAAGGTTGATTCAACCTTCCATCCTTCCGAGGTTGGTAAAATGAGGACCCAGATTGTTGTGGCAATATTCTGACTCTGTAAACTGCTTAGAGAAGTTATAAAGCTTTGGGAAGCGGTATATAAGTTTAAGTGCTATTGCCATCTATAAACAAATTCATAAAGCATTATCATATTGTCTTGATATTAGCAAAGGTTCATTAAGGGTTATCAGAAATAGCAACATATTTATTTTAATCTTGATAAAATAAACCAATTTTATATTCCTTTTCCTTCTGACAATTGTAACATTTAGTCTATTCAAATAATGCCATAGATCTTGATTTCTTTTCAATTTTTTTTGCCCCTTTTCATAAAATTCATCCAAGTTTTAAAATAATATAAAATAATTATTTAAATCACTCTTTATTATTTGTATTTCATCAATTTCTTTTGTACATTTAATGAGATATCTTTCAGTGTATGTGTATGTATTTGTTTATTGAATAGCCCGAAGGCCTTTTCAAACAAAACAGAAAAGAAAAAGGGAAAAAGGCAAAACAGTCACAGAAATAACAATCTAAAAGTATATTATATATGACATTAAAATTTTACAATATCAGATTTCAATAGCTAAATTGCCAAGACTAGATAGCCCAAATAAGATAGCTCCTCTCTAACTCAGCTCATCTTTCTTACAATCAATGAAATTCTTTTCAATATAACTGGCTCGTATTGCTGTCATCCTTTTAAGATAGCGAGTGATAGCCCTTACCATGGGAGGAGAGTCAGCCTTCAACAAAAATGCTAATTTATGCCTTATATTCCAGTGGGGAAATTTATTTATAATTGGGGACAGATATTGTTTTCTTACTTCCTCATACAGCCTACATTCGAATATTATATGCGCCGTGTCCTCCACGACGTTTACCCCACATATACATGTTCTTTTGTCACATGGGATTTTCTGGTAACGGCCGAATTTAACATTGGTATCTAAAAGTTCGAATCTAAACTTAACAAATAACTGTCTCTCCACTGATGGCATTTCTAAATGTAAATACTTTTCCAGGGTGAAAGTTGTTTTAACTGCTGTCAGCAGTTTAAGGGAATGATTAGTTGAAAGAGTTGCCATGTCCATTTGCCCATGTACATCTTTAATCCGTTGTTTAACTTGCTTCAGTGTGTCACACAACGGGAACCCTACGCCGTATCAGTTCAATATTTCTGACAGCCGGGTTAGCCAGGAATATCTTTGAGGATTTGAAATCTGCTGTTCCTCTAGGCAGATTTTTGGGAGTCTGCTGGCTTCCATCCGAGTCATTTTTAGCCAGTAGGCTACCGCCCTAGTGATTGTATAGGTGTACAGTGAGAAATGTCCCAATTCAGTTCTGACGGCTGCAGCTGAAGTGGAATTGTTTACCCCGAGCATCTTCCTTAACAAATTATTTTGAGTTCTCTCCAATATGGGGGCCTCTGTAAGACCCCAAATTTCAGTACCATAGAGCATGATCGGAACAAGTTTAGCCTGAAAGACTTTACGAAGAGGTAAAATGGAGGTTGGTTGGATACGTTTACTTAATTTGGATACAAGGCTTGCTCCTGCTCTGACCTTTTGAGAAAGGTATTGATGGTGCGGAGTCCAACCTCCTGCACTGGAAAAAACAATTCCAAGATAAGTATATTGGATATACTTTGCTCTAATCTGCCAATTGTGCTTTTTATTCTTATTGCCAAAGACTAAAACTTTTGATTTATCTACATTTATAGTCAAGTGGTTTGTAGTACAATAACGTGTGAGCTTGGCAAGAAGTCTCCTCATTCCTATTTGGGTTCTAGAAAACAGCACTAAGTCATCGGCGTACATTAATACGTTAATAAATCTAGAGCCTATTTGGGGGCTATGCGTCAGAAGATCTTCCAGCTGCGCTGGGATATCATTTATATAAAGGTTAAAAAGAGTAGGGCCCAGCAGGCAGCCCTGCCTCACTCCTCTAGTTGTCGGTATGCTGTTTGTTGAGGCCCCATTTGCTGCATATCTGACTCTAATTGCCGTATTAGTATAGAGAGTCCTGATCAACAAAATAAGTCTGGGGTCCATCCCCATGACTTGTAGTTTCCTCCACAAATGGCTCCTATCTATAGAATCAAAAGCAGCGGTAAGGTCAATAAAGGTGGTATACAGCTTTTTCCCCTGGGTCTAGTATTTATTAATTAAGTGGGAAAGGACAAAACAATTGTCAATGGTAGACCTACCTGATCTAAAACCTGCCTGCTCATTTGCCAGAATTTCCTTATCCAAGCACCAGTCCTCTATTTTATTTAGCAGATGTTTCGTATACATTTTTGAAATTATATTAAGAAGACTGATGGGTCGGTAGTTGGATGGGGCGGCTCTGTCACCTTTCTTGAAAATTGGAAAAACTATAGCTAACCTCCACCCTTCAGGGATTATCCCTACTTTATCGATATAAGTAAACAGTGCTACCAGCACCAGTACCCAAAAGTCAATGTTGGACCTAAAGAGTTCAGGAGGCAGCAAGTCCTCTCCAGGGGCCTTCCCGGCCTTTAAGGATTGAATTATATGTTTAACTTCGGTAGAGGTAACTGGTGTCCATTCCGGACATTTCCTTAATTCCTGCTGGAGAATATCCAGTTGCAAGACATTTGTTGTATTATTACCATCAAATAAAGCAAGATAGTGCTTCTCCCATTTTACTGCTGATATATCAGTGTCCAAAAATGGGGAACGTTGTTTTAATATACCGGCTATCTTATGCCAAAAGATCGTAGGGAATTGGGATTTCGCTGCCATTTCTACCTCTTTCCACATCCTGGTATTATAGCTACTTTTCTTGTTTTTCAGGAGGGATTTGTATGCTCTCCTGAGTTGAACCATATTTGAATAATCACCATCCTGTCTGGACCGGTTAACTTTCCTAACTGCGGCTCTTAGATTTGACCTCAAGCTATGGCAATCGTCATCAAACCACTTTCTAGAGATCCCATCTACTTTTCTATCATTCTGGATCATTAAGTTCTTAAGAGTAGAAGTTAGCTCTATATAAGCTGGCATTGGGGTGCTGTCTCTGGGTTTAGATTGGGAGATTTCCCTTGCTAGCTGCCTGGCTTTGTCTGAGCCCAAATAAGTGGTCACAGATTTGACATCAAGTCTGTGCCAATATAACCTTTTGTAGTTATAAACCCGGGCGTTTACTAAGGTGTCAATTTCCTCTCTTGAATGAGGCCTAACTTCTGAAGAGAGTGAAACCAGAGCCGTGATGGGAAAGTGGTCACTTTCCTCTCTAAATATAGCTCTTACATCTGAAAAATGGTGTACTAAACTAGAGGAAGTGCAGATATAATCGATACAGGTTGATGTTTTGTTGGACGAGAAAGTATAGGGATATATATACCCATCACTCAAGCCACTAAGTACTTGCATATCATTCATAAACAGCAGGGAAATTAACCTCTGGGCATATTTATTGGTCCTCTTGTCCATTGAGGACCAGGTGAACTCATTATAAAAGTATCCAGTTGGTACCAGGCCTCGGTTAGCATAGCTCTTCATTGAGGGGCCTAGTCTTGCATTAGTATCTCCAGCTAATATAATTTTTGCTTGGGGAAAGCATCCCTTTAAGGTAGCTAATACTGAATCTAATTCATCCCACAAATCCCTTCCTAGAAGGTGGAATGAAAAAGGAGCGATATATACATTAATTAAGATTAAGTCCATCCCCCTGAACGAAAATCTAATAGGCAGAATATATTGGAATTGAGGGTCTAAAGAAATTTCTTCACCCTTCCATCCCGTATCCCTTTTGACCATCGTGGTTAAGCCCCCAATTGCCCTCCCTGTTAAATTGACTTTGCCTGCCGGTTTATGCCATGAGGCAAAGCCCGGTAAGCTGATCTGTGGATCATTAGTAGTCAGCCAGGTTTCTTGACGGAGGATGAGATGATGTGTTGAAATCAGTTTTATAAAATCCATCCGGTTTGCAATGCCTTTCCAGCCCGCTATATTCCAGGACAGGAGGGAAAAGCTAGGGATATAAGATAGTTATTGGCCATTTGTTGTCTAGTCAATCACCCCGAGGCACTACTCCTTGTGTCTCTTCCTTCACCCTTCTGGTGGAGGGGTCCGGAATTACTACCACCGCCTTCTCTGGAGTGCCAAAGGAGTCAAAAGTGGCCTCTGATTGTTGCGGAAGTGCCTCCCCCATTCTTAAGGAAGATGAGACAGGTGAGGGCAGTTGCACAGTTGGGGGAGGGTGAACTTCTGCCGCTACATTCATGGTCTTTGTTTCTTTGAAAAGTCTTTTGCCTTCCCTTCTATCCCACTGGATGGACTTAACAACTTTAGGCCTTGTCTGAACATGCTTTCCCCGTTCTTCCAACTTGGATAGCCTTCTCGTTGAACTGCAGGCTTCTGCTAGCGAAGATCTTAATAAGTCAAATTCAATTAACATCGACCTTTGCTCCTTTGGAGACAAGGAGACAAATTCGCTGATTATAACATCCTCTGGCTTGTCAGTGCTTGCCTTCATATGTGGGACCTCCCTGGTCTGGCCTGCCTCCATAGCTTCTCCGGATTCTAGAGGAAAGACCCTGGAGGTAGCAGAGTGGTTCCTAGGTACCATTTTTGATGTTTGGTTAAGTCCTTGTAAAAGCGGTTTAATAGGCCCACTCGAGAAGACTCTTGTAGGAATGACTTCAAATCTGAGCAGGGATCCTTTTCTTTTCATTACAGCATTCAGAATAGTATTGCTGTCAAAATGCAGTATTAGTCGAACACAATTGCTATGCTGGGGAAGTTTTTCGTAACTGAGTAGATCTATTAATAAAGGATCAGATTTCAATAGCTGTGCAAGTGAGAGGATTATCCTTTCCTTTGAAGTCCATCGTCCTCTATTGCATGGGATTTTCCTTATCCTTAAAGCAATTGTCAGGGATAAATGCCTTGCCTCAGACCCAGGGCTGGAGGCACGGGGGCTGGACAGGCCAACCCCCAAGATCCACCCTAACCCAATGACCCCCTCCTTACCTTAGCCA